CCGAACTATTATTTGAAAGACTAAAATTTGTGCGACCGAGTCCTTGTTTGGACATCCTACATATCCCGGGTGATAAGGGAATCAGGATACTTGTAGTTCAAGGAGATAAAGTAATGAGTTGAAAGTTAAGTGAGGTTCCATCGAGGCTCCAGATCGCGGCTCTTATCCTTACATAAAAATTGAAAACTATTAGTCAAAAGAAAAACAAATGTACAAACTTCCATCCATGCAGCTTTTCTTGAATCTTCACTTGAATTTTGACTTTAAGATATCACCTTGATTTTTGAGTGAATATCTTAACTTAGAATTGGAATGGAGGCTGAACTTGCCACTCAGGCGGAACTTTCGACATTCTTCAAAATGACAACTTGAAAAATGCTCTTGAATAAATGCGTGTTTTCTTGATCAAAAGTTGACTAGCAAAAGATGTGTGGAAATCAGGCTGCTACATGCATTGAAGAAGCTAATTCTAACCATCATGGAATTGATTATTCTAAGAAATTTGAAACTTTGTTCTTGAATTTCAAATCCAAGTCTCGCTTGAGAAAACCTGAGAACCACCACAAACAAAAAATAAATAAAATTTTTGCCCCAGTTTTCACTGGGAAAATTTTGTGAGTTATTAGCAAATATAAATATAAAACATAAACTTCGGCTAGGAAGTGTTTATTTTAGGAGAAAATAAAACTAAAAATCTAGACTAAGAAGTGTTAATCCTACGAGAAAGTAATCTAATCCCATTATTCAGGAGGGTCCTGCTAGTCCCATTATCCAGGAGGGTCCTGCTAGTCCCATTATCCAGGAGGGTCCTGCTAGTCCCATTATCCAGGGGGGTCCTGCTAATCCCATTATCCAGGAGGGTCCTGCTAGTCCCATTATTCAGGAGGGTCCTGCTAATCCCATTATCCAGGAGGGTCCTGTTACTCCCATTATCCAGGAGGGTCCTGCTACTCCCATTATCCAGGAGGGTCCTGCTACTCCCATTATCCAGGAGGGTCCTGCTAGTCCCATTATCCAGGAGGGTCCTGCTAGTCCCATTATCCAGGAGGGTCCTGCTAATCCCATTATCCAGGAGGGTCCTGCTAATCCCATTATCCAGGAGGGTCCTGCTACTCCCATTATCCAGGAGGGTCCTGCTAGTTCCATTATCCAGGAGGGTCATGCTAGTCCCATTATCCAGGAGGGTCCTGCTAGTCCCATTATCCAGGAGGGTCCTGCTAGTCCCATTATCCAGGAGGGTCCTGCTAATCCCACTATCCAGGAGGGTCCTGCTAATCCCATTATCCAGGAGGGTCCTGCTAGTCCCATTATCCAGGAGGGTCCTGCTAATCCCATTATCCAGGAGGGTCCTGCTACTCCCTTTATCCAGGAGGGTCCTGCTAATCCCATTATCCAGGAGGGTCCTGCTACTCCCATTATCCAGGAGGGTCCTGCTACTCCCATTATCCAGGAGGGTCCTGCTAATCCCATTATCTAGGAGGGTCCTGCTACTCTCATTATCCAGGAGGGTCCAGCTAATCCCATTATCCAGGAGGGTCCTGCTACTCCCATTATCCAGGAGGGTCCTACTAATAAAGTTTTCAACAAACTAATAATACCAACGAAACATTGTGAATGCTATCTTCATTATTTGGAAGTTCCTTCAAGGAGAAAAATAATAATAATAATAATAATAATAATAAATAAAATAAACATTCCAACATTCAAGTAATTGCTATTTTGATATATATTAGCCAATTTCATATAATATTCCACAAGTCTTTATTGTAGGGTTTCCATTTCGCTCGCTGCAGACTAGGTTGAACATCTAGGTTCTTCGAATCCTTATTCTTGAAACAACTTGTGTCCCTACTTCAACAAAGAAAATTTGTGAGTTTGAAAAGGTGGTGGTTGGTTTGTGGTTCCATCTTTCGACAAAGGTGGCTCAAACACTTATGACGCATTGGTTGTTTCCAACGTTCAATACTTCTTACTAATTGATTGTACTTTCATCCACATTTGCTTATTTTGCGACCTAAATCCAATGTCTTTATCTCATAACACTCATTGTTTAGCCTTCATAGGATCAGAGAATTTTTGAATTCAACACTTGAAGACAGATTGACTCAGTAGCCTGATACTTTGCCTAGTACCGTTTAGAGACTTGGTAGCGAGTCTTGAAATTCCTTCATAGTTTTTTTTCGACAAAGACTCGACTTAAATACATACCAAAAAGTGACAAAGAAAACGTATAAGAAAGTTACGAACTATATGAGAATAAAAGAAAAGATTCGATGAAGACTCTTTTTTTTGTAAGAAGAAGAAAGAAAAACTTATCTGAGTGTGGGAGCCGAGTCTATTGATCATGCCATGCAATTTGAATTGATTTCCAGACTTGGCTATCCAATCTATTCATCAACCATTATTGATTATTCAATCTTGATGTGGAATCCCAACACTTAATGAAGCCATAAATAATCTGAACCCTTATAGACTTTGTGGTATTCACGAAGGTCTTTGCTGCTAAAACTCAATCATGTTAATTGCTCCAGCTCACATCTGCCTTAGGGTGCATGTCAGGATTTTCACCAATAAGACTCTCTTATATTCAACTCCTTTTCTCCTTACGGTGCCCACTTAGGGTTTTCACCAATAAGACTCTCTCATTTTTATTTCTTTTTACTCACATTTGTCTTATGGTGCCCATTTTGGATTTTTACCTACCTTTAACCAACTTATTCTCGACATATCATGGGCTAATGCAAAGACTTTTTTTTTGACTTTAGATGATGGGTTGATTTTGAGCTGTGAGATGAGAGACCGAATAAATAAACAAACGACTTTTGCCCCAGTATACTACAATATGAATTTTTGGATTTGTATTTGGTTGAACCGAACCCAATATTAGGGTTGCCTACGTATCTTGCCGAAACAAGAATCAGGTCAAACGTAGTTCAGGCAATTTGTTTTGTTTTTATTTTTTGTTTTTTTTTGTTTTTTTTTTTGTTTTCGTTTTTTTTAAAGTCAAGGACACAGCATAACCAAGAGATCCCATTGAATCAACCCTTGAAATATCAAGCCCAAACATAAGGGTTTCTAATGTCGAAACTCAATCATATGTAATATCTTTTCACAGCATCAGCATTGACGACCGTTTCTGTCACTTTGCCTTCTATATCTGTTAAGTAAAGAGCACCATTGGGTAATACCCTTTTAACAACGAATGGTCCACTCCAATTTGGAGAAAATTTGCCTTTGGTTTCAGCATGATGTGGATAAATGCGTCTCAACACTAATTGACCCTCTTCAAAATGTCTGGGACGCACCTTTTTGTTGTATGCCCGTGCCATTCTTTTCTGATATAATTGTCCATGACATACTGATGTCAGACGCTTCTCATCAATCAAACTTAATTGCTCTAACCGAGTTTTGGTCCATTCATCATCATCAATTTCAGCCTCCACAACGATTCGTAAAGATGGGATCTCAATCTCTGCAGGTATAACTGCTTCAGTCCCGTATACCAGTGAATATGGGGTAGCGCCCACTGACGTACGGACTGTAGTGCGATAACCCAACAAAGCAAAAGGCAACTTTTCATGCCATTGTCGAGAACTTTGCACCATCTTACGAAGTATCTTTTTTATATTTTTGTTTGCAGCTTCTACAGCCCCGTTTGCCTTTGGGCGATACGGAGTCGAATTTTGATGCTCAATCTTAAATCGGTAGCATACCTCTTGCATTAAGTGGCTGTTGAGATTTGCAGCATTGTCAGTTATAATCACCTTTGGAATACCAAAACGACAGATGATGTTGAAATGGATGAAATCCACCACGACCTTCTTGGTCACTGATTTGAAAGTTACTGCTTCCACCCACTTTGTAAAATAATCAATGGCCACCAAGATGAACCTGTGACCATTCGATGCTTTTGGTTCTATTGGTCCAATCACATCCATTCCCCATGCCACGAAAGGCCACGGAGCCGACATTGCATGCAACTCAGAAGGGGGAGAATGTATTAAATCACCATGTATTTGACATTCATGACATTTACGAACAAATCGTATGGAATCCCGCTCCATGGTGAGCCAATAATATCCTGCTCGAAGTATTTTCTTGGCTAGAACATATCCATTCATATGAGGTCCACAAACTCCTAAGTGTACTTCAATCATGATTGTGGAAGCCTCTTGAGCATTTACACACCTTAGAAGACCTAAATCGGGTGTCTTCTTGTACATTATGCCTCCGCTTAACAAAAAACCCCTTGCTAGTCGTCAAATAGTCCTTCTTTGATTACTAGTTACATCTGACGGACATTCTCTAGACTGAAGATAAGTTTTGATATCATGAAACCAAGGCTTACCATCAAATTCCTCCTCAATCATGTTGCAATAGGCATGTTGATCACGAATTTGTATATATAAAGGGTCGATATGGGTGTCATCAGGGTGTTGGAGCATCGAAGACAAAGTGGCCAATGCATCTGCAATCTCATTGTGCATTCTGGGAATGTGTCTAAACTTTATCGACATGAATCATTGACAAAGACCTTGTAAACAATGTTGATATGGTATCAGCTTTGGGTCTCGAGTTTCCCATTCTCCTTGAATTTGATGAACTAGTAAGTCTGAGTCTCCTAACACTAACAATTCTTGGATGCCCATGTCAACAGCTAACCTCAGACCCAAAATGCACGCTTCGTACTCAGACATATTATTAGTACAATAGAATCTAAGTTGGGCTGATATAGGGTAATATTCCCCTAATTCAGACATAAGAACAGCTCCTATTCCAACTCCTTTACTGTTAGAGGCACCATCAAAGAATAACTTCCAACCTTGATCGTTATCGTGAATAACTTCATCGATACAAGATATCTCTTCATCTGGAAAATAGGTTTTAAGCGGTTCATATTCTTCATCAATAGGGTTCTCTGCCAAATGATCTGCCAATGCTTGAGCTTTCATTGCGGTCCGCGTTATATAGATAATGTCAAACTCTGTGAGCAATATTTGTCATTTCGCAAGCCTGCCTGTGTGCAAGGGCTTTTGAAAAATATATTTCAACGGATCCATACGAGAGATGAGATAAGTAGTATAAGACGAAAGATAATGTTTCAACTTCTGTGCTACCAAAGTTAGGGCACAACACGTTCTTTCAAGAATGGTATACTTTGCTTCGTAAACGGTAAATTTCTTGTTGAGGTAATAAATGGCCCGCTCTTTCTTCCCAGTGTCATCATGCTGACCCAGTACGCAACCAAAAGAATTATCAAGTACTGACATATACAATATCAAAGGTCTTCCCGGCTCGGGAGGAACCAACACAGGGGGATTTGATAGGTAACTCTTAATTTTTTCAAAAGTTTGTCGACATTCTTCGGTCCACTCGCCTATGGCATTCTTTTTCAACAACTTAAAGATAGGCTCACAAGTTGTTGTGAGTTGAGCAATGAATCTGCTGATGTAGTTTAACCTTCCTAGAAGGCTCATAACCTCAGTTTTGTTCTTTGGAGGTGGCAATTCTTGGATTGCTTTAATCTTTGAAGGATCCAACTCGATACCTCTTCGACTGACTATAAACCCCAAAAGCTTCCCCGATGGTACTCCAAATACACATTTTGCAGGATTAAGCTTGAGATTGTACCTGCGGAGCCTTTCGAAGAATCTCCTTAAGTCTTTCACATGATCTGACTGTTTTTCAGATTTAATGATAACATCATCCACATAAACTTCGATTTCTCTATGCATCATATCGTGAAACATGGTTGTCATTGCTCTCATATAAGTTGCCCTTGCATTTTTTAATCCAAAAGGCATAACACGATAACAATATGTACCCCATGGAGTGATAAAAGATGTTTTTTCTGCATCTTCATCATTCATAATAATCTGATGGTAGCCCGCATAACAATCCACAAAAGGTGCAACCTCATGTTTAGCACAATTATCCAATAAAATATGGATGTTAGGCAAAGGAAAATCATCTTTTGGACTTGCCTTATTCAAATCACGATAATCAACACACATTCGAACTTTGCCATCTTTCTTAGGGACAGGTACGATATTGGCTAACCAAGAAGGATATTGAGAGACTTGAATGACTTTGGCCTCAAGTTGTTTTGTGATCTCCTCTTTAATTATTACACTCATGTCGGTTTTGAGTTTTCTCAACTTCTGCTTTATCGGAGGAAAATTAGGATCAATTGGCAACTTGTGAACAACCATGTCCGTGCTTAATCCAGGCATGTCATCATAAGATGACGCAAAAACATCTTTGTAATCAAACAGGGCCTGGATTATATCGTCCTTTTGATGTCGAACATGTACACTTATCTTAGTCTCCTTAATAATTTCTTGATCCCCCAAATTTATCGTCTCAGTTTCACTCATGTTTGGATTTGACTTATTTTCAAAATGATTGAAATCCCTCCTTACTTCTTCAAATACTCTGTCTTCATCATGTTCGATTTCTTCACTTATTATTTCAATATTAGGTCGAAGATTAGATTGGATATTAAGATCTGGCGAAAAATTCTGCATGCATGTCATATCACTAGAATCGGCATAGAAAGAACTGTATAAAAGAAAACGAACAAATATATTAGACTGAAATAAAGATGCAATTACATTCTATTGAAAAGGGAAATAGAATGTTTGAAATAAAACGACAAGATAAAATCCGAATCACAATCCTTGAATGAATCGGATGACAAAAGAAAAAACAAGACAGACTACCAAGACTCATCTTTAACGGGGAGAGGGGTGGCCTCCCAATTGGTTAGATTGACATCAGGACCAATGAATTGCACATCTCTGTCGCTAGTGCCTTCTCCAAGTTCCACCATATCAACCTCGACAAATAAATCTTGAAAATAGTTGATCATTTCTTCGCTAACTTTCATTACTGGCTCTGGAAAATATGATTGATAAGATTCTGTTGCGCGGGCTTTGATGAAAGATTTGTAGATTGATTGTATAGGCTTGGTAAGTGACCATACATCTCTCTTCTGCTTCTTTGCCTTCATTTTGTCCTCGACTCTAGGTTGGTAGCCTAAGCCAAAAGTACCGATGCTCTTTGGTAGACTCACAGGATAAGCTCTTCCTTGCAAGCAGATTCCTAAGCCTTTGCCCGGCTCAAACCCATGTTTCAGCAATTCATTCACCACCATTACAGACGCGATGGACATATTTGGTTTTGGAATGACACTCCCCTCGGGGACATGCTCAATAAACACTACCTCAGAAGCTTGATAAACTAGTGCCTCATTCTCATTATCCGCATCGATAAAAGGGAAGGAAGAGTCTTTGTAGATTGACAAATCCCCCTCACCATGAACAATTACCTCTTGTCGGTCGTGTTCAAACTTAATCATTTGATGCAACGTTACGGGAGACTGCTCCAGCCCTATGCACCCATGGCCTCCCCCCAACAATAGATTGTAGGATGCGTTGATATCCAACACTTGAAAATTCACAACAAAATCCACAGGCCATATGGTTAGTACGAGCTCTATCTCACCAATAACATCTGTTTTTGACCCATCAAAAGCTCTAACACATACATTGTTAGGTCGGACCCTTTCAGCACTAACATTCAATTTCTGTAGAGTTGATAAAGGACAAATATTTGCTCCAGATCCTCCATCAATTAGAACTCGAGCGACATATGAAAGCTCACACTTTACAGTGATATGTAGGCCTTGGTTATGTCCTGTACCTTCTTTGGGTAGTTCATCATCTGAAAAGGTGATGCGGTTTACCTCAAATATTCTCCCAGTAATCTTCTCTAACTGACTCACTGTAACTTTACTAGGAACATGTGCTTCATTCAAAATTTTCATTACAGCCTTACGATGTTCATCAGAATGTATTAGCAAAGACAACAAAGAGATTTGGGCTGGAGTTTTTCTTAATTGTTCCACCACGGAGTAGTCTGATAGTTTCATCTTCCTTAGGAATTCCTCTGCCTCTCCTTCAGTGACCAGACTCTTTATTTGTGTTTGGTCATTTTTAGTTTTCCTTAATTCCATCGGGACATAACATCTTCCTGAACGGGTTATTCCTCCCACTTCATCTATTTCTTCATCTATTTCTTTTCCCTTGTATGTCACGACAGTAGGCTCATAATTCCAAGGAACAGCTTTGGGGTTAGTCATTGGGAGCTGGGGTACTGGCCTGATAATCACACGAGGAATATGGGACCCTCGCACGATCAAGATAGGCTTGTTTGGCCCTTTTGGAACATACGATTTTGCCTTACTCGGGCTTGCCCAAACATCTTCAAGGGCTCCTTTCACAGTTAAGATGGGTGTGTTTGATGGACTCAACTTTTCTAACACACTTTCCGCCCCTAAAGGCATCATTTTTTTTAAATCAACAACATTTGCTGACTTCTCAATGCCAGTTCCAACCCTAAGGATTGGCTTATACAGAGATGCAAAATCTTCATGACCCTTCATCATTTCTAGCATGTTTGTTTCAGTATGCCTCGGCAATGGATTTCGATTGATGTTGGGTCCACTCAGACTTTCAACTATAATTCGATTAGAATCGATCAAATCCTGAATGGCCCTTTTCAAATACCAATATCTCTCTATGTTGTGCCCTGGGGCATTAGAACAATATGCGCAATGTTTAGAATAATCCAAATTTCTCGGGGGAGGATTCGACATCTTTCTCTCAATAGGACTTAAAACATTCAATGTCCTTAATTTTTGGAACAAGCTAGCATACGACTCCCCAATAGGAGTGAACTCACCTTTAACGCCATTTCCCTTTTTGTATTGTGGTCTAGGAAGGAAAGGAATTCTAGCAATATTTTGATGAACTTGTGGGGGTGGTGGATGATTTTGTGGAGTTGCTGCACGCCATTGTGGATAAGAAGGGGGTGCAATTGGTTGTGCATTAAAAACATGATATGGAGTGTATGGGACAGAATATTGTGGAGCTTGGGAAGGAAAATAGTGTTGTGAGGAATTACCTTGGACATGAGTTCTAGGCGCTGATACAATAGCGCCCACATCCTCCCTTCTCTTCTTCCCTCCAATATTTCTAGAACCATTTTGAAGCATTTGTGTTGTGGCTTTTAAGGCAGCTTGACTTACAATCTTTCCAGACTTGATGCCATTTTCCACCATTTCCCCTACCTTAATAACTTCAGCGAATGTCTTCCCTACGGCAGAAAGCAGATAGTGAAAGTAATCAGGTTCTTGCGCCTGGAGAAAAATGTCAATCATCTCTGACTCCTTCATCGGTGGTTTAACCCTAGCAGCTTGTTCCCTCCATCTGGTAGCATATTCACAAAAATTTTCCGTGGTCTTTTTTCTCATGTTGTCTAACGAGGAGCGATCTGGAACAATGTCAATATTATATTGGAATTGTTGTACAAAACATCGAGCCAAATCATCCCATGTGTGCCAGTTGGTGATATCCTGATCTATGAACCATTCAGATGCAATCCCTATTAAGCTTTGCCCAAAATAGGTCATAAGTAACTCTTCTTTTCCCTCTGCACCCCTCAATTGGTTGCAATATCTCTTTAGATGAGCTATGGGGTCTCCGTGACCATCGTATTTTTCAAACTTTGGAGTTTTAAAACCAGCAGGCAAATGGACGTGAGGAAACATACACAAGTCACTGAACGAGATGCCTTTGTGGCCTCCTAGTCCTTGCATATCTCTTATACTCTGTTCCAAACTCTTCATTTTCTTAGTCATTTCTTCATGTTCCTCATTCTTGACCATCCTCTCAATTTCAACAGGGGAACTATATTGATGAATGTGGGGATGAGAACTTGGAATTTTAATGGTCTCTTCAAGAGTGTAACTCTGCTCACGCCGAACTTTGGGCGGAGGATCGCTGTTGGATTTGGGCATCATCGTTGGCTGCGGGATGCTGTTAGTCGGGGCAATTGACACGAAAAGTGGATTACTTATTACAGGCGTATTCGAAGGGCGTGCCATAGAAGTTCCAGCGACATTGGATGTGTTAGCATAGGGGTCGAATCCAGGGGGATATATCGGATCGCTTGTCGACACCTGGATAGGGTGAGACATATTTGTATTAAAATAGTCTCGGATTGAAGATGGTGGAGGTTGTCCACTCATCCAAGCCTCGTACATCTCTGCCATTTGTTGTCTTAACACCCTTATCTCTTCTGTTGTCCCTGTTTCTTGTGAAGTCATCTGGTTTTGGATCTCCTCATCATTGTCCGATTCATTTCCGTCTCTGGGGGCCATTTTCTGTTTCCCTTTCGATCTTGTGTTGTAAGGATGTGATGCCAGTTTAACCACAAACCAACCACCTTTAAGCTAGTATGTCTCTCTCTCTTTCTCTCTCTATCTCTCTCTCTCTCTATGAATAGAGTAACAAACCGATTAGTGTTAAGAAATTATGCACATTGTATCCACATACATACTTCTAATATGGAGGACCTCATGTTTCATCCCGGCTTACCTAGGCATTTTTCTCTTCATTAGTTTTTTTAATATTTCATTATTATTACTTATTCATTTACTTATTTGTTTATTTATTTATTCTCATTATGATTAACATTTTTTAAGAGAAAGAAGAAAGAAAAAAAAAGAAAAGAAAATAATAATAATAATAGTAATAATAATAATTTGGATCGAACCCCTTGGGTTGCCTACGTATCATGTTTGGCCCATGAATCAGATCTTGCGTAGTTCGAGGAAGATATTAATAATAAATTTTTTTTTCTTTTTTTTTTGCATGACATATGCACACAAGGTGATCGAAAGTAAATCTTTTTCATTCATTTTCAAATATTTGAAACAATGATTTGGATAAAACAACAAAAAAAACAGAAGTACCTAGGACTTAGCTAGACTCTAAATGAAATAAAATAACAAAACGAAAAGAAAGAGAAAAAAACTAATAATAATAATAATAATGAAATAATCACTACTAAGAGAATAGACTCTAAAAGAAACTGAATCCTCGAATCTCAATCATCTCCAAGGACCTTATAAATCTTCGCCAACGCTTTCGGTAGATATGGAGCCAAAGCACGGGCCTGTTGGCCCAACCTCTCATCGTTCTGGTGTAAATATCTAGCATAAACATTGTTGAGTTCATCCCTGAGTTGCAGTATTCGGTCTCTAGGTTCATCCATATTGTCATAACAATTCTGTAACTAGTGGTGAGCGGTATTGACTTCATGCGTCAAATTTTCCCTTTGTTCTTGGAGCTCTTCAATTTGAAGGTGGAGTGCATCTCGCTCGGCTATCCTTTGACCTCTCTCAATCTCACAGTCTGCCTGATAAGCACTGAAACGCCTTGCTATTTCTCTTTCTCGTTCCATAGAGGCTTTAACTTGAGTTTGGAGCCTAGACTGTGCGCAGATAAGTTGGGCCTTTTCTTTCTTATACTCCTCTTCCTGTTGCTCCATAGCGCCTGTGGCAATGCCCAAGTCTTCTTGTAAGGTTAGAATGGTAGAACGGTGTTTTCTAACTCTAATTTCGAATATCGCATCACGTTGGGCCAACTCCTCTTTAGCGTTTTTCAGGTCATTACTTAGGATATCCAGAGTGGATTTGTAGCTTCTTTCGACATTGACGTGAGCTTGCTTAATCTTAACCTCAATTTCTGCTTCTCAATCTATAGGTCCTTTTATTGGCCCTTCTGGCATAACCTTAGGAAGGGGCTGATCATGAACCCAATCTAAGTATGCTTGGTCCACCTCACCTCTAGTGCGATCCTTCACCATATCGTGGGGACTTGAGAGTATGAATCCCCCCTAAATCTTAAATATCTCTGATTGCCTTAAAGGTATCTTGGGATGAAACTCATACATGAATTCACGCATATCTTCATTGGGTGGTATAAACTGGCGTCGCCCAAGTTGTCGCATGACTCTAAGTGGCATGTAAGGTTGGATACCTCGAAGACCCTTTAGAACAATGAACGATCGAAAAGTAGACATGTATATCACCTCGGCCGATGGAAACCAATGATAATTCCTCACAATCTTGTCAGCAGTCAGATTATTGAGGTGTTGCTTCCAAGCTTCAATACCTTTCGGAAAACTATGATCTTTGATTCTTTCTTTGTGACCTCCAATATAATCATTCCATTCTACTTTAAAGTCCACTGCATAAGGGTGATGACGAATGTGTTCAATCATCCATAGTTGTAATAACATATTGCATCCCTCAAAGTAGTCTTTTCCATCCTTGCAAATAGTTAAAGCACGATAGATGTCTACCAGAATCATTGGTACGAGGGTGATATTAGGCTTCTTCTCAAAAGCTGTAATGACTGCAGCTAAGTTCATGCTAATCTTTCCTCCCTTTTTTGGAAATACCATGATTCCCAAAAAAGCCACCACGAAGGCATCATAACTGTGTGCTTCCCAAGTCAGACGACACCCATTATTACGGAGTTTCTTTCCATACACTTCGAATCCATCACTTTTGCCATATCTTTTGTACAAAAATTCTAACGGGACCCATCCATTATTGAGACAACCACCTATATCATTCTCATTTATATGCAGTAATTCTAGAAACCTCCTCCCATTAATATGTTTTGGTATCATAGGCTCTTCTTTGTGAAGATGTTTACCCTTTCCAATGAATGCCCCTATCTCTTCAACGGTGGGGGTGAGTTCACAATCAGAAAAACGGAATACATTCCTTAATGGGTCCCAAAAATGCACTAGTGCTTCTATCAAATCCCGTCGTGGCTCAACATACAAAAGAATTCGTAGAAATCCCAAGCGTTTGAACACCATTCCTCGTCCCTGGTTTGTCATATTTTCATATCATGTCTTCAAGAGTGTTGGGACCTTATCCACTATCATGAATCGAGGTGATTGGTCCTCTCTTTGTCTCTTATCTCCCTTTCCATATGGATTCATATTTCCCTATATTATGATAGTGACAAATTAGGCTTAATAAAATATATATTTTTTAACAAGAATAACGGAAAAATCAAACACACAAAAAAAGTAAATTTTTTTTATAATAAAATATATTTTTTAAATAAGAATAAGTAAAAATTATACACACACAAAAAAAGCAAATTTTTTATTATTATTTTTTTAAATAAAATAGTCTTACACATACACACACAAAAAAAAGCAATTTTATTTTTATTTTCATTTGTTTGTTTTTTTTTTAAAAATAGTTATTAAAGGAAGAATGAGAAGAAAATATATATATATATATATATATATATATATATATATCCCTTAAAATTTTTCCAAAACTAAAAATATTAATATATTCGATTGTATTTTATTTTTTGTTGATTAAATTTTCAATCTTTTTTTTAATTTTTAAATATATAGAAAAACTTTGATGGTAATAATAGATTTTTCTATTTGTAAAAGAAATATGAATTTTGATAGAAAAATTGTGTTTAATAAAAGAATTACGTCAAAACTTTAATTTGGTATTTTTCGTTATAATTAATTTTTCATTATAATTCATTTATCTAAAGCCGATCAACATTTGTATAGTCTTCCCCATAATGCAACAAATAACACAAAATAATGTACATGATGGTCTCAATTAGGAATACTTCTCCTAGACAGGCTCGACCCTTGTGTCGAGCTCCCCATTAATTCAACATTATGCATGATGCAGATAAATCGAATCCTATTAGGGATAGTCATTGTTGAGGCTTGTTTTACTAGGTAAACAATCTAATAGGGAAGGTGTCTAGACTGGCCATAAAACGAGCGGACTACTCGAGTCGAGAAGGGACACCTTACCAGTAGCAGGGCTTTCTGGCCTCACTGTTAGTCCTTCCCATCCTAAGACATGTGTTACTATAGAATCCTTCCCAGGAACGTTGCCGCATCTCTGGTATCTCATGGCTCGGGAGCGTAATCGCATCTCCGAATAAAGTATCTCAGAAGACTCAGATGGATGCGTGAGGAAAGATAATTATATTATAATTCACATATAATCAAAAGGGTAAATAAGCAAGCAAATAACATATTATGTCATTAAACACAATATTCACAAATCGATAAGTACGTAAATACATAACAAAGTCAATGTAGAAGTCCATGTTTACAAGCTCGAATTTCTAGTTAGTCCCCAGCAGAGTCGCCAGAGATGTCACACCCCTTTTTCGCGCGGCGGCGTAAGGGTTTTTCCAATTTAAGTGACGTTATTGATTAGGGGATTATTTTTTTTAGAATCGCCACTTGGAATTGAGTTACGGTGTTCCAAGTCACCTTATTTACATACCTAATCAAAAGGAAGTTGATTCATTATTTTAAGGTCTGCGAAATCAAAAATCGGTTAAGGAATTCTGTTGAACAAAGGGAAGGTATTAGGCACCCCTCGATCCCGTGGTTCAAGCACGGTCGCTTTATGGACATTCATGACTTAAACTAATTTATGAATATTGTATTATTAAGACAAATGTATTTACCCTCATTATTTGATTTATATTAACATATTTAAAACCATCCAATTTTAGAAGCATGTCAAGTTTTTATACATTATTATTTTTTATTATTCTTTCAACATTTTGCTTGTTTCTTAATTTCTCTTTTTTTTATTTCTTTTTGTACAAATTTTCACATTTTTTTTTAACTTTCCTTATTTTATATTTTTGGTTTTTACATTGATTTTCTTCTTTTTCTTTTCTTACTCTTTTTAATATTTTTTTTAATGATAATAATAAAATATTTCACATATTTTTAACACTATGCTTTTTGTATCTTTTCATTTTTAAAGTATTTTTTTTTACTTTTTTGTGTACATTTTTTACATTCTTTTTATTATATATTTACTTTTTATTTTTTTATTATTCTTTTTCTAATTCGAACATTCCTTCTTCACTACTTTTATTTTCTTTTCTTATTCACGTATTCTACCTCTTTTCATTATTCCATTTTTATTGTTGTTATTGTTATTATTTTTCATTTTTATTTTTTTATCTTTTTTCTTTCAGTTTATTATCCTCTCCCAACAAGTTTATTATTATTATTATTTATAGAATCTAAAAATAATAATGTAAGACAACACACATAATATAATTTAATATATTTCTAAACACAACCAAACAAAAAATTCATTCAAATTAGTAAGACATGAAAATAAAAATTTGGATAACTATACATATTATCATTATAATAACTACACATATTATCATTAAAAACTAAACATGAAAAATAAAAATTGGCTTAGACAATAATTTTACTGAGGCGTGAAATAAACTATGAATTATTTAATATGAAATAAACTACGATTTATTA